ATCATTGATGGACTCAAGTGTGGCAGCGGTAGTGAGGTTGGCCCAGGATCGGACATTGTTTCGTTCTGCTGTGCATGGGGTTGCTATGAGTCGGTTCCGACTCGATGGCACCTGACAACAACAACAACAAGATCATTCGATACTGTACTACAAGCCACTGAGATTGTGTTAATTTTTTCACTGCTTTTTCTTTTTGTGCTTCATTTTGGGATAACACCCCAAATTTCTGTCTTTAATTCCATTGATTTTTTTTTTTTCCTTCTGATGTGTTTAACAAGCAGGTAAGCCGATTCAGTGAAATTTTCACTTCAGGTTTTATATTGTTATCTTTATTAATTTCATTTGGTTCTATTTTTATTTTTTACTTCCGTACTTATCATGTTAATTAAATTTTTTTAAAAAACTCTTGAGCATATTTAAAAGAACTGTTTTTAAATCCTTGTCTGGTAATTGCACTGTTTCTGTCATTTCTGGGTCTGTTTTTACAGATTGATTTTTCTCTTGATTACCATACACTTTATCCTACGTCTTTGCTACTGAGGCTTTACTGATTCATAGACTTGTGAATATTATGTCTTAGAGTGTTTTGATTTTGTTTCTTCATTTCAACAGTGTTACAAAGGTAGCTACAAATGGTTGTTAGTCAGTAAATTAACTTGCAGATTACTTTATTTCTTTCCAGGTATGCTTTTAAACTTTGTTCGGGTGAGTCTAGAATAACTCTGGGGTTTATATATCCCTACTTTCAAAGTGCAAAGGAGCTCTGGTTATGAATCGGGCTGTGAACCGCATGGTCAGCAGTTCAAAACTACCAGCTGTTCCGTGGGAGAAAGATGAGACTTTCTTCTCCTATAAAGATTTACAGCCTCGGAAACCCTGTACTGGGTGGGTCACTGTGAGTCAGAACCAACTCCACAGCACTTAACAACAACAACTTTCAAAGTATGACTCTTCTGTGTCTCTCGGAGTGTCTCCTATGTTTATTTTACACTGACTGAATATGATTTCAGTGTCTCCAAGTCCTGTAAAAGATTTGCAAAGTATTCCTATGACTGTTTGTCCAACATCATGGAGTTGTATTCCATGGATTTATAGTTTCTGGTAGCGTAGTTGTTATGAGTTGGGCTGCTAACCTCAAGATTAGCAATATGAAACTACCAGGTGTTTCATGGAAGAAAGATGAGATTTTTCTGCTCCCGTAAAGATGTAAAGCCTTGGAAACCCTATACAGACTCGTTATGTGTTGGGATCGACTCCACAGCACTTAACCAATCAATTAATCATTAAGTAATAGACTCAAGGGGACTCTTATATGTATTTCTTGATTTCTTTTTCTGCATAGATTCTTCCTCTTCTACACTCTACCACACACATCCAGCTGCCTCCCCAAACTCTGATCTCTATCTTCTATGCCAGTGATTCTGTTGTGCTCTGATTGAGTTAGTCCTCCCTGTGATGTGAGCTGCAAAGTGCCTCTAGGCAGAAAGCTGGGTTGACTGTAGTGCTTACCTCATATACTTCTGTTGTTTTCTTTATCTCAGTTCTGCACTGCCTCTTGTCCAGTGTCTGGAAACAGCTGTTTCATATATTTTGTCCAAATTTCTAGCTCTTTGCTTTGAAAGAGAAATTCTGTATCACGCACTCCAAAATGGTCAGAGTGGAAGAATACTGCAAAGTTTTAAACATTTTGCCAATGAAAAGTGAACTGAGGCTCATGGTTTCATGATGGACAGGGTAAAGGGGAAAAAATTCAAAGGCAATGATTTTAACTTCTTTCTTGTATGACGTTGAAGCAATATATTATTTGGGGGAGCTTTTTCTCATCTATTTGAAATTAAACTCAATGCAAATATTACATGTATTTCAAGATCATTAGGAAAAGTATTAATGTTAGATTATGACACTTGTCTGTAAAACGGAGCTTAGTTGTGAAATGTTTCTAATAACTGCTTGCTAAGGAAAAACCACAATGCTGTTCATTTTGATTGGTGCTGATGATAAAGATGAAGAGGATGTTAACGATGAGAGTAACATTTATTAAGCACCTCCAATATCAAGGAGCTCTGGTAGCGCAGTGGTTATGAATTGGGCTGCTAACCTCAAGGTCAGCAGTTCAAAACTACCAGCTGTTCCACAGGAGAAAGATGAGGCTTTCTGCTCCCATAAAGAGTTGCAGCCTCAGAAACCCTGTGCAGGGTCACTATGAGTCGGAACCGACTCCACAGAACTTAACAACAAGAACAATATAGCAGGCCCTGTGCTAGGCTCGTTATACTGATTGTCTTTACCCCTCCACAACAGTTCTGCAAGTTAGAAACCATGATCTCCAGAAACTCAGGGAGGTAAAGTTTGTTCCTCCACTTCATCCAACTAAAATGTGAATCCTCAGTGACTACATTTTACCAGTTGCTGTCAAGTCAATTCCAGCTAATGGATCATCCCTTACATGTTAGAGTAGAACTCTGCTCCAAAGGGTTGTCAGTGACTGATGCTTTTGGAAGTAGATCACCAGGTTTTTTCCTGAAGAGTCTCTAGGGGGATTTGAACCTCCAACCTTTTGGTTAGCAGTCAAGTGTGTTAACTATTTGTACCACCCAGGGACTCTCAGTGACTACGCTGTTGTTGTTGCTGTTAAATGCCATCGGGTTGGTTCTGACTCATAGCAATCCTGTATAGGGTTTCTGAGGAGTGGCTGGTGAGTTTGAACTGCTCACCTTGTGGTTCAAACCAATCTTGCAGTAGAACGCATTAATCCTCAGAGCCACACCAGGACTAGAGACTGGAGCTGGGAATGCTCTCAGCTCACCACTCACAGGATTTCCCATTATTATACTTCTCTCGGGTTCTCTCTGTACCTGAACTTTCCCATCTGGCAAATGAAAGTGGGAAACAGTTAAACCCCTCCCCCCCAGAGAGACTGTATTATTATATAGATGTCTTGCGTTATTTTGCTTCGAATAACAGCATATGTAAATGTACTCCAGGAGGTTAAAATTACCCATATTTTACAAAACTTGGCCTCTCCCACTTGAGTGAATAGTTGAAAATTATGGAGAGGAAAAAGCAGGCTGGAGAGAGTGTTAGAATTGCTGCAGCTTCTGGCCAGCTTTCTCCTCCATCCCCCAACACGTATTCCTATTCAGCTGGAAACTGCCGTGGTTGAGTAAAGATTGCTAAATGTCCTATCATGGAGTCCTGGCCCGTTCTGATGTTCAGTGTCCAGAGAGGTTCGTCCAGATATTAATCATTAACGCAGCATCGGGTTGGTGTGTAGAGGCAGATGTTCTTACTGAGACAAATGAAAGTCTCCTGTAGCTCCTGGAAGAACTTGTCATGCCTGGTCCCCTGCCAGTTTACAGAAAGGTTCGGGTTGACACGGGCACTGAGCTGTTCGGACCACCCGCCTCTCTTGTTTGGAGGTTGGCATTTCCCCTTGACTCGGGCTCTCCCAAGGGCCCTGCATTGTTGAGCCGTCCCTATCTTAAACTGCCGTTCCTGGCATTTGAATCATCACTTCGATGATGTGATAATATCTGCAAGTTGGGAAAATAAAAGTGGCATTTGTTTAGCCATAATTAATGAAATATTTATGTTGCATGAGACTATGTGATAAAACCTGAGGCTTAAAGTCCTTTTGCTTCTGATTACATTTGGGATTTTTTTTTTCTATGACCAGACATTCTGACGCCAGCTCTTTTACACTGAGCAGATGTCATGTAGTAAAAATGGGTGCCAGATGCTGTGAGCCGCAGAAGGGCGATTTGTTTAAGGGCTGGCTCCGACTTTTTTTTTTTTTTTTTGCATTCAATTACTCTGCAGTGCAAACCTCACACAAGCATTTAGGTACCTCAGCTAACTTCAGACATGCATTTTAATAATAGATTTCATCTCTGAATGAATGCATTCTAAGCGACACACCATATAAATGGTGTTTAAAGAATTAATTGATTTCTGCATAATACCTTGTAGTTTTGTTTTGTTTTGTTTTTTTAAATATGAAAAGAGAGCTGTGAAGCTTTTGGCAGGGACCCAGAAATGTAATTAATGTGGTGAGCCAAATTTCCAGTAGCCCTTAGGTACTGCCTTCTCATGCTCACCGCAGGTGCAGTGAGGGATGGGCAGCAAGGGAGAGGTGGGAGGAAGGGGCTAGAGGGGGAGAGACAGCTTTGGTTTATGAACCAGAGGATGAAGCCAGCAGTTCAGTGAGTCCTTCTGTTCCCATTTCAGGACCCAAGCACATCCCCATTCAAGCACAGGTGATAGAGACGGCCTCGGCACTGTCTTCTACCTCCTCCTCCTCTGCAGATGAAGAATTCGATCCCCAGCCTTCCTTGCGGTCAAAGGTAACAGTACTTGGCAACCCAAAGAGGTCTTTGGCTGGAGAGAGTCATTTACCATCCAGACCCAATGTGGACTCCAGCTTCAGTGGTTTCATTAGGGGATCATGTTTCATTACATCTGACAGCACCCCTTCTTGTTACCTGGAACACCCCAAGAATTATCTATTTTTTCTTTAACTTCTCAGAGACTCAGATTGGGAAGGAAAAACAAAACAAAACAGAACAAAACTCAGACATATTCACAAGCAACTGTTTGATGACTGCAACTCTTAAAGTGGTTTTAATATGTAATCCTACAAGCAAACCATTGAAAAATTGTAACAAGCAGATGCCTAGTTCCCTGGGGGGTGCACAGCTTCATTTAAGAAGCACTAGAGACAGATTGCATAGAAAACGTTATGTTTATTCTAATCAGAAATGTTAAATGAGCCATACAGATGCATGTAGACACAGATACTCGGAGGGTCTCAACTGTGGGGATGTTCCCAGTCATGAGGAACATAGTTTTCCTTTTTGCTTAGTGAGCCTCCATATTTCTGGAGAACACTTTTAAAAACTCTCATACCCATAGATGATCGTTACAAGCATCGTGATGTGTTTGTAAGTGTGCCTGCGTGTCACACACTTGGAGACACACATCCATTTCTTTCTGAACCAGGGTCAGTGTCTTGTGCTGATACGGAAGAGTGAATGATTGGAACTGAAATGTTTCCCCCGGGTGATCAGAGAAGCACCCATTGCTCTGGCAGTGTTGATTTGTTGAATCAGTGAGGATCTGGGGAGAACCAATTTCTTTTACTTAGACTCAACTTTTCCGTACCTGGTATTTGGAGCTTTGGTGTCATCTCAAGTCACTCAGAGGTTCCCACTTCTGCAGCCCAGCCAGAAGTAAGACAAGAGGAGCTGGGGCATGTCCTGAGTATATGTGTGTGTTTGTGTGTGTGTGTGTAGGGGGCGGAGGGAGTGAGTGTTTAAAACCGGGTATGTGTTTAGAGGCATATCTGTGGAAATAGCACTGGAATTGTGCCCCCACTCAAGCATGACACTCAAGTCTTAGATAGCTTCACCGTAATATTAGCTCAAAGTTACAAGTCAAATTCTTCATTATTTTACTTAACACATTATGGTGCTACAGGAAAATGACAGCTGTGCTTTCCTTGCTCTCACTGATGAAAGTGAGTCTAGGATGTGCCCAACTAAGGTCATTGTTTTCAGTTTCTTCTCTGTCTACACTCAACAGAGCAGTCCCCCAACTTCCAGGCAGAGGGAGCCTTTGCCCAATGCAAGTCCCTAGGGAGCAGCGGTACACCTTGAACAAGACCGCTGTCTGTGTCCACACCAGACGGGGCCTGCTGCCCAGCCCTCCCAGTCAGGAGTCATCCCCAGCTGAAGAAAGAGCAGAACATCATAGAATCAGACATAACAGGGTGGCGCAGTGCACAGAAAGGAGGGGAAACAACTAGATGGGCTGTGAGACTCCCCCAGCTGTGCCCAGGCCACCCCAGAGGGCAGCACAGGAAGAATGACAGGAGCCGCTAACCAAGTGGGGAATGGGCAGTGAGATACTGTCAGGCTGACCTCCTCGGGGCTGCTTTTCCAAAGCTCTTGGGCTCATTGAGGCGAACCACAGTGAAATTAATGCCCACATACACCAGGCTAAATAGTAAAAAATATGTTTCTGTGCTGCCTGACTACAGGCTCCTGTCCTTTCAGTTGGGAATTAAGTCTGCACCCAGATATGCTTGGTAGTGGTGGTGGTTGTGTGCTATTGAGTTGGTTCCAACTCATTGCAACCCTGTATAGGGTTTCAAAGGCTATAAATCTTTACGGGAGCAGAAAGCCTCATCTTTCTCCCACAGAGCAGCTGGTGGATTCAAACTGTTGACCTTGCAGTTAGCAGCCCAGCGCATTACCCACTACACTGCCAGGGCTCCTGAGGATACACCTTGTTGTTCTTGTTGTTGTTAAGTACCATCAAGTCATTTCCAACTCATAGCAAAAGAAAATATCACATGGTCTGCTTTGACCCACGGAAATTCTCAAATACCACAGTACAGGTACCGCCTGCTTTTCAAAAGTTTACTTTACACCAATTCACTTTTACCTGTTTTCACTAACTGATTTTCACTTTTAAGGGAAAAGGTGAAAAGCAAAACTGTTGTTTGTTTAGCAGTGAACCATTTAAGAGGTAATGTGTACCCCAATCAGTAAGAGTGGTACTGTCAACTTCCTTGGGAACTACACTGAGCATCTCAGCATCGAGCTCCCATAGCTTTGAACTGTCTGTGAGCTCAGCATGTTAGTGTTATTTTAGGGTTTATGTGTTATTTGATATGATTTGGGAGGTTGTTTTGAGGGTCTGGGATTGCTCAAGAGTTTTCCCCATATAAATTCATGGTAATTGCTTCTTCTGTTGACCCCATTTCAACTTACAGGAGGTTTCAGAGGAATGCTCTACTTTCAGATAGCTGGAAAACCTCTGTTAATTTCAACTTGTGGCATGACTTCTCACCACTGACAATGGAAAACTGATGGTTAATGGAAACTGTGTCTTACTGCTGTATTTAGATAGGCTTTTGTGTATCTATATGAGAGGAAATGTATATGGCTTTAAATCTCCTGGGTGTCTCTCATTAGTTAATACTCAACACAAATGAATTCTGGGTGTTCTGCTGATTTCTGAGGTTTCCTAATTAGCTCTGTCATCTCCTTTGAGTGGATGAATCCTGTGTTCCAGTGAAATAGCGGTCCAGCATCAGCTGTCCAGACACTCAGGGAGGATGAAAGAATTGAAAGGCGGGTCCAGATACATCACAATAGCAAGACCAAGATATTCAGGGCCAACCTTGCAAATAGCTCCTTGTCCTCCTGCTGGCCCTGAACAGAGGCAGGTGGTTCTGGATCCTGCCAGGTGGTGAAGAAGGCCCACTTCACCTGGCTCCTGACCTGGCCTGCTCTTACAGGATGGATTATTCGTCAGAACTTCCCAAGGGCTCACATGTAGGAACGAGGAGAGTTCTTTGTCCTCTGGTTTCTTTGTCTCTTCCATCCCATGCAGGTGTGTCCCCAGCTACCTGGCACAGAGCCCATGTCGGCTCAAATGAACCCTTTCGCAGGAAATTGGAGCCACATCTATCCTTTCTGCCTTTCTCTTTGCTTTACCCCTCCCCACAACTGCCTCTCCTCCCAAACCCACACCTGGATCAGTGATGGAACCAGGTAGAGACCAGTGGATTGTCCTTGGGACAGCCAGCTTTCTCCCTTTACTTGACTTTTAGCTTTTTCTTTCTTAGTCTGTAGCCTCATTCCTTTCCTGTCTGTATTGTCATCATCATCACTGAAGATGTTAGAGCTGTCCCTGGCACATCGTGAATCATCCTTCTTTTCTATAAATACCTTTTCATATGGCGTCCTGGTGTGGCGCTATAGGATAAGCACTGGACCACAAGGTTGGTGTGAACCTCAAGGTTGGTGGCTCAGACTCACCAGCCACTCCTCGGAAACCCTATACAGGATTGCTATGAGTCGGAATCAACTCAATGTCACTTAACAACAACAACAACCTTTTCATATAAGGAAGTGTGTGGCTTTCTTCCTGATACGGGTTCTGTTTGGCTGACTTCTGCTGAAGCAGCCAAGTTTGACAATTTTGCTTCTGGAAAGCACTAAGACTGCATGATGTCATGCTCCTCTACTCCTTTGATATTATATTAATGATCTTTATATGGGGGGAGAAAATGTACATTTCTTTTCTATTGTTGTTGTTGTTAAGTGCCATCTTTTCTATAGGACCCAACTTTAAGTGTATTGAATATTTGTTGTTGTTAAGTGCCATTGAGTCGGTTCCGACCCATAGCGACCCTGTATAGGGTTTCCAAGTTGTTGTTGTTGGTGTTGTTATGTGCCGTGGAGTCGATTCTGACTCATAGCGACCCTGTACAGGGTTTCTGAGGCTGTATATCTTTACAGGAGCAGAAAAGCTCATCTTTCTCCCACAGAACAGCTAGTAGTTTCTGAGTTTTTTTTTTGTTGTTGTTGTTCGTAGGTGAGGTGCCATCGAATTGGTACCGACTCATAGCGACCTTATGCACAGCAGAACAAAACACTGCCCGATCCTGGGCCAACCTCACAGGCATTAATACCCCCATTTTATAGAATAGGAAAATAAGGCACAAAGAAGTTCAGAAACTTGTCCAAGGTCACAGAGTTACAGTCTGTCTCCAGAGCTATGCCGAAATAATAACTGTTGTTTGAGTTAGGGCTAGGTAAGTGAGCTTCTGCTTACCACAGGAGGGTGAGGGAAGTTGTTCATCCCTTCTATGGAGTTCTGGTGTGGCGCTGTAGGATCAGCACTGGACTGCTAATCACAAGGTTAGCGGTTCAAACCCACCAGCTGCTTCTTGGAACCCCTATACAGAGTCACTATGAGTCGGAACTGACTCAGTGACACTTTACAGCAACAAGACTCTGGAGCAGGAGTTCTAAATGTACCAGAACCGTGTTTGCCACAAGGAAAGGTGGAACTGATTAAATGAAAATGTCAAACTACCTTGGATTCACGCCTGGCTCTCTTATTTGCCAGCTGTACTTATTTTAGGAAAGTTAGTTTACCTCTTTGAACTTGGGTTTTCTTATCTGGGAAATGCAAGTCACTGAGAAAGAAATGACATGTAAAAATCATTAGAACAGTATATGGCATATAGTGTTGTGTTCTTAGATGCTATCAAGTAGATTTTCAAGTCTTAACAACCTTTTGAGACAGAATAAAACTGTCCTATAGGGGTCTCTGAAGTCCTGGTGAGGTGCTGTGGGTTAATACGCTGGACTGCAGTGTCGGTTTGAACCACAAGATTGGCGGTTCAAGCTCACCAGCCGCTCCTGGGAAACCCTATACAAGGTTGCTATGGGTCGGAACTGACTCAACAACACCTAACAACAACAACATAGGGATGTCTAGGCTGTAATCTTTTCAGAGCAGATCACCAGGCCTTTCTCTCACAGAGCCGCTGAGTGGGTTCCAAAACGCTAACCTTTTGGATTTGCAGTCAAGCCCTTAAACCATCAGGCCACACACTCCCCACCACTGCCATCAAGTCAATTCTGACTCATCACAACCCTGCGGAGGATTTCCCAGGCCATTCATCTTTACAGGTGCAGAGCGCCTCATCGTTCTCCTACGGAACGGCTGGTGGGTTTCAGCCACTGACCTTGTGGTTAGCAGTCCAATGTTTATCCAACAACTCTACCAGGCTCCTTTAAAGTACAGTGTCTGATACACTGTTGTTGCTGTTAAGTGCCAACTCATATCCAACCTGCATAGGGTTTCCAAGGAGCAGCTGGTGAGCTTGACCTTGCAGTTCAAACTGACCTTGTGGTCCAGTGCTTTATCCCACAGTACCACACCTGGATTCCACAGCACCGAATAAACGCTGGCTCATTTATACATAGAAGCTCAGAGATAGTTGTTAAATAGATAAACTCTTCATTTAGATTAAGTCTCTGGACAGCAACTCCCTTTAATCTCCCCTTCCCAAACTCTTTCTCCAAAGGTCCTGGTTGCCTAGTGATGGGGTTCCCCCATCCAGAGTACCCAGACCTCCGTTCAGAGAGGTTGACAGCCAGCATAGAAGTCATACCCTAGAAAGAGAGGTGAGACACAGCAGAATAAGCTGAACCCAAAGTTCCATTCTCACCAGGATGAAACAGACTGTTAGGGTTCTAGATTCTAAATTTATTGAAGGTTTTATCTTTTAAATCTAATGGGCTCACTGATGAGCTGCAGTGGTTCTGAAACCTCAGAGCTGGATAGTTGCCTAAGAAGTGTGGTGGCCTCTCCACCCTGCCCATGGGATAGGTGACAGAGTGACAAGTATCCTAACACCCTGGGAACCACGGTACTTTTAAGGCACAGTCTCTGTTGTGAGCTTGATTCCTTTAGTGTATCTGGGGTCCAGTCTCTCTCATGACTCTATGTCCCACTTGTAAATTTATGGTTCTTCATTCCCTTAGTGTATCTGGGGTCCAGTCTCTCTCGTGTCACTATGCCCCATTCTTAAATGTATGATTCTTCTAATACACCAGCATTCAGTTGAACTGCAGTTATTGAATTCCTAGGCACACTAGGCTAGCTATGGAGTCCTGGTGTGGCACTGTGTGATAAAACACTGGACCACAAGGTCGGTTTGAACCACAAAGTTGGTGGTTCAAATTCACCAGCCACTCCTTGGAAACCCTATACAGGGTCTCCATGTGTCGGAACCGACTTGACAACACTCAACAACAGTAACAACAAGGCTAGCTATGGACTCCTGGTGTGACTCTGTAGGATCATCACTGGACGGTGAACCACAGGGTCAGTGGTTCAAACCCCAGACAGGGTGGCTATGAGTCAGAACCAACACAACGGCACTTAATAACAACAACAGGTTAACTATAGGAGTCATGGTGTGAGGCTGTAGGATAAACACTGGACTGCTAACCACAAGGTTGGCAATTCAAACTTACCAGCCACTCCTCAGAAACTTTATACATGGTGGCTATGAGTCGGTGGCACTTAGAAAGGCTAGCTATAATAACTTTTTAAAATTCATCAATTTTAGTCAATAATTATAATGCTAATATTTACTGAGGATTTTTTCCATGTTTTTTTTTTCAAGCATTCTGTGATGGACTTGATGTGTATTATCTCATTGAACCCTTACTGCATTCCTACAACCCTCTACCCACAGCCATCAAGTTGATTCTGATGGGGGTTTAGGGTTGTAGGAATGCAATAAGGGTTCAGTGAGCTAATACAGGTCAAGTCCATCCCATAATGCTTGAAAAAACCATGGGGAAAGTAGACATCAAAGCACCTTCGTTGTTCCAAAGAGTTCACTGACGTTCAGTATACTGTGCATTGTGCCAAAATGTGAGCAGCTCAGCCATGCCTCTGTGCTGCCTCCTCTGTTGAACTGGCCCAGAATGACTTCTCCTCTTTCCATTCTCTAAAATCTGGAAGTGACCCCATCAAGACTCACACATTTATTTTATATGCATCAATTTGGGATACCCTCCCTCCCCCCTACAAGTCCAGACACACACAAAATCCAGTGACATTAATGCTGTATTTTCACAAGCAAAGTGAAGTAGGGAAACGAAGTCATCTTATGCTTACCTCAAGCCAAGAAACACCTTAATGTGAATTATTTAATTACACTCCTCTACTCCAGTTCTGGTAACGTAGTGGTTACGAATCGGGCTGCAAGCCTCAGGGTCAGCAGTTCGAAACTACCAGCTGTTCCGTGGGAGAAAGATGAGGCTTTCTGCTCCCGTAAAGATTTACAGCCTTGTAAACCCTGTACAGGGTCGCTATGGGTTGGAACCAACTTCACAGCACTTAACAACAACAACAACTATTAGGCAATATAGACCCAACCCAAGAACGATTTAAGACTGTTAACTGGGCTTTGTGTGGTATAGTTGTGTGTGTATGTGTGTCCCAGATGTATCATCCCTGGTCTTTGATAGCACCCACGTAAAGAATAATTCATATATTTTTTCTTCCCTCAACTAAACCCAGCCAGTGCTCTGTAGAGCCACTCACTGACACACTTTTGTGTACATACCTTACACAGGTATCCGCTTCCCAGTACAACACCTACTAGCTCGTCATAAGAGATTAGCCGGCTTTAGTCTCTTATGATTTTACAATACAATAGCTAGTAGCCACATGTTACTATTTGAATTTATATTTAAATTAATTAAAATTGAATAAAAATTACATTTCTTTTTCAAGTGCCCAAATAGCCACACGTGGCTAGTGGCTTCCATGCTTTTACACAGTTCAGATCTTGAACATTTCCATCATTGAAGGAAGTTCTGTTGGGTGGCACCACCCTAAAAGCTAAGCTATGAATAGGAACGATTGATTGGAGAAGACAGAAGGCATGACAGTATTTTGTAAGTTTCAACCTCATTTTTCTCAGACACATTTTTCTTTTCCCTTTGTTGATTTTTACAGGAGAGGAAGACAATTCGAAGAAGAAAGAAACTGGAAAAGGCAACAAAGCAGCTAATCAAGCAAGAAGAACTGAAAAGACTTCATAAAGCTCAGGTGAGAAAACAAACTTGAGTCCAGTGAGTGAACTTGAGTTTTGGGATCCTGAAAATCTAGGTCTTGAAAGTGCTTTGCAAATCTATCGTATGTTAGAGGTGGAGGGTTGGGGAAACATCAGTCTAAATTCTCTGATGGGTCAACTTTATGGCTCTTTGCAAGGCCCCTTTGCAAGTCTGGTGGGACTCTGGGTCCAGATTAACATCTTAACAGCTGGCCCACTCCCAGCTACCTTTCCATCTAGACCTGTGTCCTGCAAAGTGAGGCTAGAATGAGAACCAATGCAGCAGCTTTAGGAATCGTTCTGAATGCAAGCTGCTGCAAGGCAGTAATGCTAGTTTTGCCTTCTCTGAGGACCCATACCTTCCACCAATTTCCTTTCAGCATCTTTACTGACTGGGTAAGTACTTGGGGCTGTTTCTTCACTCCAAGATTAGTTTCAAACATAGGTATCCAGCATTCCAACACAGATAGTATTGATTTTGAGAGCAACCCCCATCTCCCTGAGAACCCCAAACTGAGTCATGAAGAATAGAATGAATGAAGAATTTTGTGGCATAAGGACTTACAATGACTCTGCATATCAATCCAATGTGTGCCCTATATCCCTGTCTCCAGTTGTTCCCTGTGTCTGGCCATGCAATCCTGTACATTGTTTCTGACAAGATGGAAGTCATTTACTCCAAGCTCCTTTCCCCTTCATAGTAACTGACTCAGCAGTCACCTTTTCACCTCATAACCAGGAAAATTCCCATCAACCCACCACTGCCCACTCTCAATTTCCGGAAATGGGTTTCCATGAATCACATCAACTCTTCCTTCTCAGAACAAGACAAGTCTTTATGACGTATATTGGCAAGCTCAGCAATTTCCCTGCCATATGTGTTCAATGTAAACAGTAGGCAGTGGCCAGAGAGGAACAAGGTGGCTTTTGAATCCTAATCTGCTGGCGCTCAAAGCAGCCCTGATTAGTCTTTGAGATGACTTTCATCCTTGGTTTCCAAAGACTGCCCACATAGCCACCACTTTACAGTAATCAGTAATAGAGTCACTTCCATTTTTCCTTTCCTTTAGGAATTCTGCACGCTGACAGCAAGAGTGAACTTATAAAGATATGATTGTCTTTTTAAGAGAGAGAAAGGAAGAGGGCATGAAATTGTAAGACATTTAGATAGAATTCCCATCTGATTCAGATTTTATGTTTGGGGCTTAAATACTCTAAGCTAGAACTAGATGAGCTAGGTGGCTGGTCAGACCCTACTCATGCTTGGATCTCTACTCAGGCTTGGAGGCATTTCAGCTGTTGTACCTCTGATTCCAGGGGCTACTTAGAACATGGAGTTAACAAATGGGGAGGGAGGCAGAGCTAAAGTAAGGTAAAGGAGGCAAAGTTAATGTGCCAAGAGATGTGCAGCATGGTGTTTAAAAACAGGGGGGGGTGGGAATTATGGAGATAGATAAAATGTATACAGGAAAAATTTCCTCTAATTTTTTTTTACTAATTTACACAAGAGAGAAATAGCTAGTAGGAGAAATTAAATGTATAAATGCAAACCCAGTCATGACCCTTAATTAGGGGCCTGTGGTGAGTCTAAGGCAGGTGTGAGATTGCCTCTTAATGGGCTAAATGGCTTGTGTCTTGTTTTAATAACCTACTAGTAACAAAGCCACAGTACGCTCGCTCCCACAGTAAAAGAACCCTCCCTGGGTATTACCCAGAGGTGCAGTGAATGAACCTGTACAGTTCGTAGCTGTGCATGAGAGCATTACAGTCTAAGAAAGGAACACCAAGCCCCAAGCATTCTCCCTGGGGCTCCTGCTCTAGACTAGCTTCTCAGAAGGTATCTCTTCGTGGGGAGATGGAATGGGGGTGGGCTCTGTGTTTGCCCCCAGAGCCTGTTCCCCCACTCTGTAGCGGCTCCAAATCCAGTTATTACACCATGACTACAGTGGGAAACCGTGCCCCCCAGGCACCATTCAGGGGAGGAACCCAGAGGGCTGGTCACCTTAGCCCAGCAGTTTCTGTCCTGGGAGACTTGGGTACAATTGGCCTTGTCAAAGGGGACTGTTTTAACCTTGGGGGTGGGGGCACAGAATGAACACGCACACACACACACCTCTTGCTTTGTATTTTCACACTAAAAAGGGAAAGTGTCAATATCTGGTGGTTTGGGAATTCAGAGGGCTTGGCAGATTAGCCGAGCAGATGAGCCATGGAGAGTCGGCCCCATCCTGTGGCTCTGTGCAGGGACAGTCCCTATGTAACTTGTGATGCTGCCATTGCAGACCATCCAGAGGCAGCTGGAGGAGGTGGAGGAGAGACAGAGGGCTTTCGAGATCCGGGGCGTGAGGCTGGAGAAAGCGCTGAGAGGAGAAGCAGGTATGGAATGGGGGCTGAAGTCTCCGATATAGTATTGCAGGATCCCTGGTGGCGCGGTGGGTTGCTAATCAAAAGGCGGGTGGTTTGAACCCACCAGCTGCTCTGTGGGAGAAAGATGACAAAGATTACGGCCTAAGAAACCTTACGGCGCAGTTGTACTCTGTCCTGTTGGGTCACTATGAGTTGGGGTTGACTCAGCGGCACTTGGTTCAGTTTGGATCTGGAACCATCTGGATCAAACCGTGAGACCTTGATACAGGTTCTGAATCTGTCCGTGTGGACATGTCATGCTGAATCCGCAACTGCTTCAGGCTTCAAAAATCAAACTGGTGGTCCAATTTGAAATTCCCTGGGGCATTGATTGTCCTGTGGGCCTCATAACTGAGTTTCTGGTCTACCCTCCTCTCCTGGTAGTGCAAATGTTCTTTGCAATTTGGGAGATTAAGATGAATTCAACAGAAATATTTGAATGTTCAAGCTGTGTTCTTAAGTGATTTAGAGTCAAATTCCAAACTGTGTGGCCTTGGGCTAGTCACCTTATAAACGTTTCTGAACGTTTGTTTTCTCATCTAAAACAGAGACGATACATTGGCTACCTTATAGCATTCATACAAGAAATAAAGAAGAAAAAAATATATGCAATGTTTAAATTAGCTGAATATTTGGCATAAGGTAAAGCAATAAATGGTAACTCATCCTTAATAGCTTTATATTCTTAGATTCAAACAGAACTCATTGAAAACTGCTATGTGTTGGACTTTAAGATTTTGGATCTGTAACAAAGAATACAACAGTTCCTGGCTTTGAGAAGCTTAGAGACCAGTGGTGGAAGCAGAACTGTAAAATAAATAAACCACGTTACAATGTAATGAGAATCCTGATGGGAGCTGAATGGAGAGGTTCCTAACTGAGCTTGCTAGCAGAGCAGGGAGGGAAGTCAAGTTAGACTTTAGAAGGTGGTGACATGAAAGCTCAGAGAGGAAGGAGAGGAATTAGCCAGTGAATGCTGAAGAAACAGCACCTGCAAAGACCAAATGTGAAAAAAGCATGAAATGTCTTGAAAAGTCTGGAGCCAGCGAAGGGTTTTGAGGTGATGCATGACTTAAAGAAACCTACGTTTTTTTGGAAACTCTTTAGTGGCCATGTAGCCAGAAGGGTCCTTGGAATTTATTGGGGTATAGCCTCTAGTTTTGTGATGTGATGCCCTCTGTGTTTTTCTAAATAAAATGTGGAAAACTAAACACTGGAAACACATATCTTTATGTGCAATCATGTCAATATCATGTTACGTGTTACATAACATAGTGAAAGGAATTATTTTGGAAGTTCATTTATTTGGTATCGGTGGTGATACTGGCAGCTGCAGATCTAGATATGCCAAGGCCTGAAGCGCATACAAAGTCATGCACGCAAATTGTTAAGGTCGTCTCCCTCCCAGACTCCTGTAAGGAACCCATGCAAGACAGGTGCCTGCTGTGAGAGTCAAGTGTCATTGTTTTTACTAGCTGCCTTTGAGTCAACCCGACTCCTGGCAACTCCAAGCACACCAGGTTAGAAATGTGACGATCCCTGGGATTTTCTATTTGAAAATGGATCACCAGGACTTTCTTCCTAGTCTATCTTAGTCTGGAATGTCCACTGAAACGTGTTCAGCATTGTGGCAACACATCAGCCTCCACTGACAAGTGGGTGGTGGCTGTACTCGAGGTGATTTGGCCGGAAACCGAGCTCCGGTCTCTTGCATGAAAGGCGAGATTTCTACTACTGAACCACCACGGACCCCCAATTCTTCATGAGTCCATGGTTAGTTTGTCTCTGGATAGCAGGGGGAACATTACAGTCAGGCTTGATCCCTCATGCCTCAATTTCTTTATTTGGAAAGTGGGAATAATAATAATACTTGCTTCTTAGGTTTCTGGTGAGCTTGGCAGAAGTAATTTGTATGAAAATTCCTAGCATAGAACAGCTGAACAATAAATACTTACTCCTCTTCTGATTAAAATATACTGTCGATTTCTTTGCAAGGTGAATCCAAATTTACTCAGTAGCAGCAGGTATCATGACAGAAATGAGGAGTCTGTCTTCTCACTGGGAGTGACAAGCACTGTCCATCTCCATGCATCGCTGGGTCTCTGGGGAGGAGGAACTGCTCTGGTTTGGTGTTCAGTCTTCTTACCAATCAAGCAGGCCCACATCCTTGTCTTTGGGAATCCTGTGATTTCAAGGAGAGCTTTAGGAATGAGATGGATAAACTAGCAAATCTAGGGCATGCTTAGCCTGCCACTGATACAGAGAGGCAGTGTGGCATGGTGAAAAAAGTCTATTCTTAGGCATTCAAGAGTCCTGTATTCAAATTCCACTCAGGTGTACTTAGTCTGTGTGGTCCTGGGAAAATCACTTAACCGCTCTGGACCCAGATTTCTTATTGGCAAAATGGACATAATAGTTCCTATATTACCAGGTTGTTTTGAGAATGAGTGATATTGATGGACAAAGTATTGTAGACTTCTAATAAACAGTGCCTAATATTATTTTCCAAATTGCTGTTAAATGCACACATCTACTTTTAAGGAATTAGCTCTCTAATCTGTCATGCTTAAAATTTAAATTATACAGACCAAATTTTGAAAGCGTCCTCTGAAAACCTCCCTCAGTTCCAACTGTAAGGAAAGGATATTTGGAGTTATCAGCTAAAGAAATGCAGCCAGCTTGTGGTGGTTTCAAAGGTAGGCCAGCCCAGCCAGAAGATGGATTCCATTCATTCTCTTTATATCCGTGGTAATTTAATTCCCCACTAAGTTTATGGGCCTTGTTCTCCTTGATTGTCCTTGTGTGGGTGACAGATGCAGATAAACAAGGGGCTGGAGACTGAAAGCATTGAGTGAAGAAGAGTGGCCCCAAAGGAAAGCAAATAGAAGATCTGCAAACCAGGCATCAAAATTAATACACTGGAACTTGTAATAACATTTGTGCAATAATAATATTCCTTTGCAGTTTAATATTCATTTCAGCCTTTTTAAGAGATTGCCCTGTTGCTTAATGAATGGCCAATGTTTATTAGGTTAAGTTGTATTTGAGCTGGCCTGTGCTGCTTCAGTTCAAGTGATTTAATGGGAATTATTTAATAGGTATTATTAGGGTAATTAGAAAATGATCACAGTTAGGCAATAATATTGAACTATAAAGGTTGTGAATAACCAAATTCAGAGACAGGCCTGAAAACAGGAGTCGTCTGTGACAGTTATGCAAGTCTCCTCTAATAATTATGTGTGCTGGGCTGAAAGGGGCTTTTGTTACTGGGAGTTATTCATTAGACAGGCATTGAATTAGAGGAACATGCGGGGGTGGGGGACGAAGGGCAATGATGGCTGATGAGAAAATGAGGCTTTGATGAGCTCCTAATTGTGGTGACAACAATTCCTGCTTTCTTTTTTTCCAACAGTCAGAAATAAGCGTCACCGCCCCCAGGAAGGGGTTTCCCCCATTTTGTCAAGGAAAGGAAAACAAAGAGAAACAAGAAACCAGCAATCCACCCCAGATGATAAGTCATTATGTTCTGCAGGGTGTGTGTGTGTACCCACATGTGTGTGTGCGCTTATCTGTGTGTACACACAGGTGCTTGTATGTGCGCACTCATCTGTGTGTACACACATGTGCTTTGTATGTGCGTATGTGTAGTATGGATGAATGAATTTGACAAAGGGAATGGGTTTGCCTCACATTCCTGGCCCCCCCACAGTAAAGGACCAGAACATAGGAAGACTCATCCTGGACCCCATCGCACCTGAGCTTTACCAGCCACTTGTTTGTTGATTGTGTGGTCAGTGTTACATGCCAGGGTTGTGGGTTACCCCACTTTGGCAAGAGAGCACCATTTACATTTATATGGTCTGATGAACAGAATCTGGTCTTAGACAGGCAGACAGATAAAACCCAGAGTAGATTGGAAGTAAAAAGGATTTGCCCTTAGGGAAGGTGGGTGGGAATTATTCCTCCCTTATCACTTTACCAACTTGGGGCAAATAGCCCAGCTGGCTGTCTGCCTTGAGCTTCTTTCTTGTCTCTTTTGAAACCAGATAGCTTCTCCTTCAGAAAGATACAGGTTTGCAAAGAAAAATCAGCATGTGGGAGGCTGCCAGCAGGTGGCACCAGCAGCACACCTATAAGAGAAAACCCAGTCAGGAAGAGGGAAGTAGTTCAGCTTGTACTCTATGGTTTTTCTCTCAATTGCTGCTGGAGAAAGAGGGAAAAACAATGTCCTGGTTAATGTAACAGTGAACTGTCCTGCAAAGAGCATAGATATTAGAGTCAGACACTCTATGTTTGCATCCTGATGCTGTTATAACATGACAATTATTTCCTCTCTACCAAAGTTTACTCATTTGTAAAAATGGAGATCATAGGGATGATATGAGATAAGGACTAAGATGATGTTAGTAAAGCACCCCCCCAAAAAAATCCAGGCTCATAGTAGTTGTTCAAAATGATTCTTTCTCTTTTCCTTTATATCCCCCATCAGAGGGATGACTGGTGTGTCAACCTTGCAGTTAGCAGTCTAGTGCTTGTCCTATTGACAGGTCCCCAGTCAATAGATACCATAAAGGAAATGAAAAGATAAGCCAATAATTAGGAAAACATATTTACAACAAATATAACCAACAAAGATTTAGTATACCATAGATAACAAATTCAGAATACTCATTGATAACAAATTCACACAAATCAATAAATATGCAGGTAACCTAGTATACAGATAGGCAAATGAAGTAAATATATATTTTATAGAACAGGAATACTGAATAAACATGTGAAAAGACAATGATGAATGATTGTTGTTGTTGTTAAGTGCCGTTGGGTCAGTTCCCACTCATAGTGACTCTGTATAGGGTTTCCAAGGAGCAGCTGGTGGGTTTGAGTTGCCAACCTTGTGTTTCCAGTCCAATGTTGAACCTTCAACACTATACCAGGAAGTACAAATTACAACTGTAATGAAAAACTAT